AGAAATTCTCTCCTGGATTATAAAGGACCATTCTACTAGCAGGAAGCAAATACTAGATATAACTGAATTATTTGAAACCAGAAATAGTCTGAATAACAATTGAAATAAATCTGGACTGAAAGAATGGAATGGAAGGGAAGGAAAGGGAAGGGAAGGGAAGGGAAGGGAAGAGAAGAGAAATCTAGGAGGAATGAGGGCTGAGAGAGTTTATTTCTACAGTATTCTACAATACTTCTACAACCAATGGAACAGAAGGTGCCTTCGGAAGTTGTGGGAGCTTCATCACTTAAGACTTTCAAGAAGAGGCTGGACTGCCCTCTTTCAGAAATGGTGTAGGGTTTCCTGCTTGGGCATGGGGTTGGACTAGATGACCTACAAGATCCTTTCCAACTCTGTTAATCTGTTAAATATGTTAAATAGAGTGGAATGGAATGGAATAGAACACAATAGGAATAACAGATTTGCAGGAAACCTTATAGTCATGGGAGTCTCACTGTGCAACAAATTCTTCCAAATATACAATGCTACCAAAAAAACCTGATTGATCCCTGCTTAGCCTTCCATGGTGAAAACATATAGAAAAGGGCTTGTGAAAATAAATTCAATATTTTCATATAATCCCATGTTCAGTGGCAAGGAGGATCTCCTTCCAAATAACGTAACATAATATGATTAAAAAAATCTCAGAAAATAAGCAATTCTTGATTTCTACCCCACCTTCTTTGGACATTTATCCCAGAATATTACTAATTTTTTTCCACAAAACCAACCTCTTGGGGAGCAAAGGGGATGCTAGAAATTACCAGTTTCTCTCTGTTTGTTGTTTCATTATCCATCTCTTTTTTCTGTTTGAGTATATCAGTGTGGATGTCCTCAGTCTCATGCTGAAGTCCGTATTTAGTTTTAAGATGCTTCGGCTTAATTTGGGGTGCATCTATCTCATCCTTCATAGAAGTCTGTTCCAAACTGATGGAGTCCATTAGAGCAACAACATCCTGTAGTCTGTCTTCAACTTGACAAAGAATATTATACTGTACCTTAAGTGAAAAAGTGCAAGAAGATCATAATGACAAGAGAATCTGTGCAGTTGGCAATATTATAAATATGCTATAGGGGAGAATAAAATAGTTAGGATAAAACACTTGTGACATTTTTCATAAAGAATTAGATACTTGATGAAGAAAAATAAACAAAGGGCAATGTCTTTGTCGGGGGTCATGCTTGTTCTCTGATTTGCACAGAAACTGATATCCATATTCATTTAAATACATAAAGTCCTCGACCTACAAGAGTTCACTTAGTGACCATTCAAAGTTACAATATCACTGAAAAAAGTGACTAATGACCATTTTTGACATTTATAAGCATTGCAGCATCCCCACAGTTTATAGAGGTTTATAGAGGTTTATTAACATTTATAGGCCGCCCTTTTCCCTGAGGGGACTCAGGGCGGCTTACATAAAATCAAGGGAGGG